AATCAGACTTCAGATATCAAAGAACCTCAGTTAACTGGGGGAAAAATTCCCAATCAAATTTGGAAATTAATTATGAGACTCTACATATTCTCTACAGAAGGGGACTCAGTTCCCTGAAAAAGGGTCTCATCTCATCTTTGAACATCTGTTCGAAAGTTCCTTATTTGGATTCAAAGTCCACAAACTCGTAATATCCACCCACTAGTTATTTCTAAATAAGCCTTTCTAAATACAAAAAATTACTTCTTCCTCATGGCAGCCTTTAATTATTTCAGAACAGATAAAAGCAACAAAAGTGCGTCAGAAAGGCATTATTACCCTGGCTTTCCAATCACCTCAAATACTTTACTCCTTTTCCATTGAAATTTTCATTTCCTAGTGAATTTATTCTTTTTCTGGATGGTAAGGATTGAGATAGCATCTCACTACTGTCCAGTACTGCCTTAAACTCATTATGTAGCCCAGGTTGGCTAGTTAATTTATTTTTTGTCATATAGTCTTTCATTCCTTATGTTCTTTTCTTCAGCTCACACATTTTTTCAATTCTGAACCCTTTATTTGGCTAATCTGTCTGAATCTCATACCTCAAGAGCAGTTGTTACATTTTTAATCTCAAATGATGCCTGATAAAAAACAATTTGGCCATTTGTTCCTCCTAGTTCTGTAATGACACTTGCAACTTCCCAGTTACCTACACTGAAAACTCTATACCATCTACAGCTTTTCATTTCTTCTCTACTCATTAGATCAATCAAGTCCAAGTCATCCCTTCTTGAAGTCAGGACTTGTCACAGGCCTATACCACTGTCATACCATGGGACGCTCCTTTACAATCTGTCCGTCTCATCATCCTAACTTACAGCTAAGACTCATTTTTCCTAACAGATTTCAGTGTCATTTCTCTATTCCTAATTATTTTCAGGATTGCCCATAGCTTACAGAGCATAAAAGCTAAACTTTTCAATATGACTTTTATTCTTTCAACTGACTCCAGTTACAAATTCAACCTCGTTTCTTTGATAACCTCTGGGAACTTTTACCTCTGTCATGCAATGTGCCATGGACATTATTAGTCATAAAAATGTTTCTAGAATCCCCAGCGAAGTCAAGAAAGCCTTCCTCTCATTTGACTACTCTTGATCATACCATGTCTTTAGTAGTCAGCATCATGACTTACAAAACTGCTTGCTTTTCTTTATAGTTTTACCACAGTAAATTATAAATGTATTTTGACCATTTTTACAGGTTTTTTTTAGTTTTTGATTTTACTTTAAACCAACCTTCCACTTGTAAGATTTCACGTTGTTGTGTATAATAGATTTATTTTCAGGATTCTTCATCATTACAAACCCTGGAGCACACAATTCCTTGTTATGGTGGCTGTATGGTAAGCATCTGGCCTCTAGCCATTATCTGTAAGGAGTAGTGCACCAGAGTAGCTCAAGCCTGTAATCTAGCTACTTGGGAGTTGGAGATAATAGGATTTTGTAGTTTGCAAGACTTCATCTTAACCACCTGTCACTTGTAGAGGCATATACCTGCAACATGGGTAAGTACATACAGCATTGCACTCGACAGTGGCCTAGGCATAAGGCAAGACTCTATCTCAAAAAAATAACCAACATAAGATGGGTGCTGGTGATTTATACCTGTAATCTCAGCTCTGAAGGATAGTGAGATTTAAGGACTGCAGTTCAAAGTCAGCCCAGATGTCTATAAGACTTATTGTCAATAAGCTACTCCCCTAAGCCAGAAGTGAAGCTGTGGTTCAAGTGGTAGAGTGCTAACTTTTACAAAAGAAGCTCAAGTACAGTACCTAGGCCCTAAGCTCAAGCCCCAAGTCTGGCCCAATAAACAAATAATCAAGCTGGGAACCTGTGGCTCATGCCAGTAATCCTAGCTATTCAGGAGGCTGAGATCTGAGGATCGCAGTCAGTTTGAAGCCAGGCTAGGCAAGTAAATCTGCGAGACCCTTAGCTCCAATTAATCATAGAAAAAGCTGGAGGTGGCGCTATGGCTCAAGTGGCCAGGGACAGCACCCAGCAAAAAATAAAATAACCAACACAAGGGCTGGTGGAATGAACATTTCAAGTGGTGCAGTGTGTGGACAGGTACTGAGTTCAAACCCTAGTACAAAAAAAAAAAGCCAGGTGCCCGTGGCTCACACGCATAAACCTAGCTACTCAGGAGGCTGAGATCTGAGGATCAGGGTTCAAAGTCAGCCCAGGCAGGAAAGTTGGTGAGCCTCTTATTTCCAATTAACCACCAGAAAAGCGGAAGTGGCACTGTGGCTCAAATGGTAGAATGCTTGCCTTCAGCTAAAGAGCACAGAGACAGCTCCAGGCCCAGAGTTCAAGCTCCACGACCGACAAAAATAAATGAATAAATAAATAAAGCTTCAGTTATTGTATGATGTTCCTGGGAGGCAAGAAGGCAAAATCATTCCAGGTTGAGATCTACAACTCTTAGTCACTTTTACTACTTATTCTTCTGAGATGTTCCATTCTGTGGATGTATATGATAGTTAACTTTTCCAGTCTAATATTCTTAAGTAGAAGCTAGCCATGAATGATGGGGATACGCAAAGAACACCTAAAATGGAAATTCTTTAAGGCCACCAGTTTTGTTTGTTGTGTGGCTTGAACTCAGGGCTTGGGTGCTGTCCCTGAGCTATTTTGCTCAAGACTAGCACTCTACCACTTTGAGCCACAGCTCCACTTCCAGCTTTTGAGTGGCTAATTGGAAGTAAAAGTCTCATGGGATTTTTCTGGGAAGGCCAGCTTCGAACCTTGAGCCTCAGATCTCAGAGCCTCTTGAGTAGCGAGGTTTATAGGCTTGAGACATGAGTGTGCCCTGTGCAGGGCCTCCAGTTCTTAAGGGAAAAAAATGTTCCAGTAATTATAGAAGAGATCACAAGGGCTCTGACAGAAAACACTGCTATAACTAAAACCTCGTGATTCATAAGGAACCTCAAGTCCTGTAGGCTGTACCTAGCGATAGCAGTGTCTCATGGGCAAACTCAGTAAGTACTCCAAAGTATCACAAAAGCTAATGCTAATGCTATCATTCTCACTCTTGAAGCAACCTTCTTACAACCTCCTGAATATGTATTTTTTAAACAGGTACAAAATCTGTTTTTGCTGAAAAGCACGGACTTCTAAACTGAACCTACAAATTAACTAAAAACAGAAGAAAAACCTGGCATCTCTACCTCAGTTTTTTACATTGATTTTTTTTAAGCCATTCTTTCTACAGTCACTTTGCAATTACCCTGGATTCCAGCTAAGACAGGACTGATCAATAACATCTTTATAACAAGGAGTGAAATGACACTTAAGGAACAGCAGAAGCTTACAAGACAGACTACTTCCAAATGAAGACAATTACTAATAATGATGAGGCTTCACCCTGGAGCAAGAGGAATCATCTTATCTCCTCAAGTGAAGACAGTGGGAAGTTCTCTGGAACTTGGGAGAACTAGAACTGAGATAATCGCCAACCAGCCCACACCTGCAACTAGGACTCTTCATGTATACCTTTACCCTCTGCCTCTAATTCTTCCTCTACCCATTTCCTCAGTACCCTAAACACAGCTGAAGATGTAATAAATTGTCTTCTTCCTGTGGCATGCCCTTGCCACATAGTAAATATTCTTTCTCTATCCTTCATCATGTCTCTGTTGAACATACAGAGGTGAGTGGCCAGATGTGACATATTCCTAATAAGCTTTCCTATCACTTTCTCTACATTTTTCTTTCCTTGTTGGATATAAGAACAGAGGTAGACAGCTGTGCTCTCTGGTAACACTATTACAAATAATGTCATTATGAATATTCTCCCCTTCCCCAGGTCTTGCATATGCTAGGTAACTGCTCTACTATTTGACCTATGTCCACAGCCCTTCTCAGTTGTACTATCTTTTTAAAAAAATATTTTAATGTAAAGATACTGTACAGAGGGATTACAGTTACATGAGTGTACCATCTTTTCGAGATAGGGTCTCACTAACTTTTCCCAGATTGGCCTCAAACTCACTATTCTCCTGCCTCAACATCCCAAGTAGTTTATGGACATGCTTACATACACCTCCAGGAACATATATACATATACATACATATATGTGTGTGTGTGTGTGTGTGTATGTATATGTGTGTGTATATATATATATATATATATATATATATTTTTTTTACCAAAATGAGAACTGCTTGTTGTTCTTTTCCCCAGCTCCCAACTTGCTTTCCCTCTTTTCTACCGTAATTACAGCTACTCTTCAAGTCCCAGCCGAATCCCAGCTTTTCTGGAGGAAAAACATTGTGGTCCTATTTCTCTATCACCCTTCCCTTTCTCTAAACTGAAACAGCATTTAAAAACAGCCCTATTTTTCACTTCTATTAGCTACATACTCTCCTCGTTAGTTACATAATCTATACACACGTTAGGTGTACATTGAATATAGGAGAAAAGACAATACTGGAAGCCTACTAGGTCTTAGAGGTAGATTAAGAAAAAAAAAAGTAATGGCCTGGAAATCTGAATCCTAGTTTATCTAGAATGTGAACTTGGATAACTGATTTCCCATCTCTGGATGGGAACTGAGTCAAAACGGACGATCTCAGAAGCAGTTCTCGCTCTGTAATTCAGTAAGAGAACCTAGCGTCAACAATCGAGGTGGAGGATGACATGGGTGTCTGGGAAGGGGGATAGAGGACTAGTGTCCACCTGGGTTGGTGGTGACAGTCACAGTGGCGAGCTTTCTCCTCTGCGGTCCCCTCAAGCTCCAGAGACTGGGAGTGCCGGCTGACGTCAGCGGCCAGGGCGGGGCCTCGGGGGCGGAGCGCCCCAGGCAGTCCCGCAGGCCGCCCCGATGACCGGTGTCTGGATACCGCTACCGGGTCATTGCAGAGCCGTGCGGCTCTGGCAAGACCGGCGATGGTATGGGGAGTTTTAAGGGCCGGCTATGGCCCTACAACGGGAGTTCTACGTGCCCACTTGCTCACCCGGTTAGGATATTCCTTCTCGACACAGTCCCCACACATCGCGACGCCTTTTACCACGAACCGTCCTCCAGAGCTTCCGGGAAGGCGAAATCTCGAGAGATCTGAGACTTTGCTTGCCGCATGCGCATTTGGATATTTGGCGTCAGGACTTGATTTGATTATCTCCGCCCCTAGCAACTGTTGCTAGGGATGGGCTCACCGGGATCTCCAGGACATCAAGGATGGGCAAGGTCTTAAGAGGGAAAAGGTCCCAGGACTGGCAGACGTGTGGGAACAGAGAGAGGCAGCGTTGGGGACGGGGAGGGGGTGGGGGGGAGGAGGGGAAGAGACCTGGACTAAAGGCACTATTGAATAGATCCTTTCCTGAGAGTAAACTGACAGATGGATCACAAAACACTAGAAAGGAAGTTATTTCTCCATGACTCAACTTACTCTGAAAAACTGAAACGAAAATACTTTAGGTAATTTGCTGTGCCATTTCTTTTTCTTCCTTTTTCTTTGGGGGGGGGGGCAGTCCTGGTACTTGAACTCAGGCACTGTACCTGAGCTACTTTTGCGCAAGGCTAGCACTCTACCACTTGAACCACAGCGCCACTTCTGGCCTTTTCTGTTTATGTGGTGCTGAGGAATCGAACCTAGGGCTTCATGCATGCTAGGCAAGCCCTCTTACCATTAAGCCACATTCCCAGCCCATTGCTGTGCCATTTCTTAAGGATGAAGAGTGGTAAAGAACTCGGCAGATGGATAAACACAAATTATACATAGGAGAGGCTCTTGGAACTCTGCAAAGAATCTCCTGAAAAGAACATATAAAAATGTTACTATTAAATGGCCATCTGGAGCCCCTGGAGTATACAAAGAAGGGAAGTGTGTTTCTGCCTTTGTGTCACAGAACTACAGCAGTGGTGACATAAATAGGACAGGTCAAATTATCCCTGTATTATTTCCTGATCTTTTGGATCTCAAAATGCTTGTGATGGGCGCCCTGGCTCTTTCCTTCTGTATTAAAAGCAACTTATTATTCACAATGATATAATTAACCTGAATTCGGCTCCAGAGTCTATTTTTAAAAAGATTAATAACCATTTTTGGAGCAAGCTGGTTTAATTGGATTTTCTAGTATGCAAATATATCTCCAATGGAGCATCTGCATAGCCTTTCATATCTTAACATCTGGTAAAGACCTACAATGGTTACTGAAAATCACAAGTATACTAAGAAACAATGTTCCAGATTGTTTCTAACATATTTATAAGATTATGTCTTTGTTGCCTTGTATGTCCCTCCCCCTGCTTTCACTATATATGATGTTGGTATATGTGGAGGGGAAGGGAAAAAACAAATTGTTAAAACAGGGATACAGGAGGGGAAGGGAAAAAACAAATTGTTAAAACAGGGATACAGGAGGACCCATTGCAACAATGAGATGTACACTTCCTTATGTTGAAAAACGAACTTTACAACTTTGGTGGGAGGGACAAGGGGGGAGGAGGGGAGAGGATAAACAAAGGAGGAGGCTACAATGCTTGATATGAAATGTGCTTATTATCTTACCCATGTAATTGTAACCTCTCTGTACAGTATTTTCACAATAAAAAAAAACAATGCTCCAACTAATGTCATGAGGTTTTCTTTATTCTTGGAAAAATTGTAACACTTCTATTTGCATGGCATTTTCAACCTGTTAAAGTATCTTGTTCAGGTTCTAATTTGATAAAATTACAAATTATAAGATTGGTGAAGAAGTATGTCTCAGGGCTGGGAATGTGGCCTAGTGGTAGAGTGTTCGCCTTAAGTGCATGCATAAAGCCCTGGGTTTGATTCCTCAGCGCCACATAAGCAGAAAAAGCCAGAAGTGGTGCTGTGGCTCAAGTGGTAGAGCGCTAGCCTTGAGCTGGTCATTGCAAAAAGTGTGAAATATCTCAATATGTTTATACAATTAGTGTTGAAATATTTTAATAAATTAGGCTAAATAAAATGTATTATTACAATGTTCACCTTTTAAACATGTGACTACTAGAAAATTTAACATTATACATATAGCTAAACTTACAAATAGGCACCTTTCTGCTGGACAGGGCTGATCTATACAATTCACTCTCTCAACCCACCTTTAAATTCTTTCTTGGCAGTGACAACTTTTAAGTTTGTATCTATTATATATTATATATTCTACCTATATCTATAATATCTACAATATCTATCTATCTATCTATCAATCTATCTATCTATCTATCTATCTGGAGTATGGAGCTCGGATTCAGGGCCTCATTCTTACTAGGCAGGCACTTTATCACTTAAGACCATTTTTTTTCTTAGTTATATTTCAGATAAATTCTTGTGCTTTTTGCCAGACTGGGACCTCAAGTTTTCTACTTATGTCTCATGTGTAAATACAGAAGCATGCACTACCATGCAGGCTTATTTGTTGAGATGGGTTTTAACTTTTCTGAGCTGGCCTCTAACAACAACCCCAAAGAGCTGGTTTTATAGGCATTTACCACCACACCCAGCTTTGATATTTATTGAATGTGTTTGATGTGTGCAAGAAACTGCAAGGTGACAGGAACATGAGAAGACATTACGTTTCTTACTCTCCAGATTCTTGAAAAACATTCTGAGACATAAAATGAGTACACACACCCATAATTAATTACTGGAAAATTACCTATACAAGCCCCAAATGTGAAGACTACTCCCAAGAGGGGCATTGAGAAAGTAGAATTTGAGACTTGAAGAATATATTGTTGTTGTTGTTGTTTTACCCAGTCTTGGGACTTGAACCCAAGGCCTGGGCACTGTCCCTGCACTTCTTTGTGCTCAAGGCTTGCACTCTACCATTTGAGTCACAGCACCACTTCCAGATTTTCTGAGTAGTTTATTGGAGATAAAAGTCTCACAGACTTTCCTGCCTGGGCTGGCTTCAAACCACAATTCTCAGATCTCAGCCTCCTGAGTAGCTAGAATTACAGGCATGAGCCACTGTTGCCAAGCTAGAACATATAGTTTCAGCACAGAGTCTATAGGAATTTCAAGTGTTTGGATTTTATTCTACAGGTGGTAAGAGCCATCAAAGAACTGAGCAGTAGTGCAGTGCCAGAGTTGATGCTGAGGATTAATTATTTCAGCAGCATTTAATTGGAACCGATTGAAACTAGAAGAAATTGGAGATATAAAAAACAGACATTAACCAGAACCACCAGGGGGAGATGTACAGCTTTTGGCCTCATTAATAGAGAACATACATGAGGAAAACAAAATTCAATTAAAATAACACTATACAGTCACAGATCTCAAAAAGCATGTCATTTGGTATAACTGTTTTCATGTTCTGATACAATCTAAATATTTACAAGTTGTAAAGGTCCATTCCTAGATGGCGAACAGACCTCGCCCAGTACCTGCGTTACCTAGGCAACTGGGACACCTGGAAGAGGTCACATCTGCATCCGCTGAGATCACATCTTAATCTGATGTGGCCACACCTTTCTCCCACCTGATCCACTTCCCTTTACCTGGACACCCCTTTCCCTGCCCCCTACCCTATATAAGGCCTAACCCGGGGCCAGACACTCTCTTTTGCTAGCCGCGTGGAGTGCCAACCTTGCCTGATCCCAGCAGTCTACTGAATAAACCGACCCTTTACCTGAATACCACGTGTGTGGTGCAGTTCTTACTCGGCTACCTCTTTTTAAAAACCTAACACAAGTATCTTTTTAACTTCTCAATATCTTGTTATTAAAGTGAGCAGGTGAAAAAAGTCACCTATTCCTGGGCACAGAAGATAACATGGAAGAGATATTTATTAAAGGTTCTCCATTCAAATCTAGCCATATTTAGAAAGAGAGACAGCAAATGAGATTTGGTGGTTTGGGAGACAAACAGGACCAGAAGTTCACGTGTGAATATAATAATAGGAATAAATATAAATGTATCTGAGAGTGACCAGTGGAAGGAAGAAAAACAGAAGCTACAAAGCAGTATATTAGCACCTAGAAAAATCTATTTTCTCATAAGTAATTTATAGTTTCCAAGAATTTAAAAACTGTGAAATTCTACTTTTACTCTCATTTCTGTGTATCATACAAAAGGAAATGTTACAAAGATTTCTAGCATAGGGAATGTAACTTAGTGATAGAGTGCTTGCCTAGAATGCATGAAGAACTGGGTTTGATTCCTCAGTACCACATAAACAGAAGTGAAGCTGTTGCTCAAGGTGTAGACCGCTTGCCTTGAGCTGAAGAGCAAAGGAACAGCGCCCAAGTTCAGAGTTCAAGCCCCATGACCCCCCCCCTACACACACACACAAAATCTAAAGCAAAATGGAAGATGGCTCAAGTGGTGAAGTACTCATCTGGCAAGCACAGCCCTGAGTTCAAACCCCAGTACCACCCTTACTCTGAAAGAGTTCGGTTTGAATCTTTTCTTTATTAATGGGAAAAAGAACATACATTAATTTATAACTACCTATTTACTTACAGTCAGGAACTACCAAGATTATTTTTTTTCTTGCAAAGATATTCCAGTTTGTTGAGTACCAGGAAAGCATTGTACGTGGTTCTCATGAGTACCTGCTTCAGACTGCAGACTCTATTCCAAAGAAGTGACATGGATAGCATAAAGTTATATTGCTTTGATCTTTCCAACAATAAAATCCTAAATCAAAATGAAAGGGACTTAAGCAACGCAGGGTATTCCCACAGGGAAAAGACAGGTAGACTTTGAAATCATCTAGCAGTATTGTATGTAATTTTTTTTTAGAACAAGTCCCACGAAACAGTAGCATATTAAGTCTGTCCACTTGAGACATACTAGCCTGGAACGCACACAACTGGCAGCTAGCAACTTTTGCTTGAGTGAGAGGGTGAAAGCTAGACAAACTAGCTGTGGGAAGGCACCTGTGTGCCACAGTGTCAAATGAGGAAATACTTTTGAATTAGTTTTCTGCCCAGAGCTGGCAATGGGAAAGGTGAAGTCAGCAAGGTGTCTCAAGGTATGCATATGGGGCACCACAGTAAAGCCTGCCTGTATCTCAAACTTGAGCAGGTCAGAATCCCAGCCACCAAACCTGATAGGATGATCTTCACAAGTGTTGGATCACTCCATGACTGACACCTGCTTGTCATCATATGAGCTACCACGTAAGACCAAACACTGAAGGGAAGCTGACCCAGCAACACTCACACTGCCTCTGTCTGCCCTCCATATATAATTTAATTGTATGTGTATGTGCGTGTGCGTGTGTGTGTGCGTGTGCACATGCGCACGCACGCTCGTGCATCACTCCTGGCACTTGTCCTCAGGCCTTGGGTGCTGATCTTAAGATTTTTTTCTCAAAGCTAGTAATATTCTACTGCTTGAACCACATATCCACTTCTTGCTTTTTAGTGGTTAGTTGGACATAAAAGCCTCATGGACTTTCCTGCCCAGGCTGGCTTCAAACTGCAATCCTTAGATCTCAGCCTCCTGAGTAACTAGGATTACAGGTATGAGCCACCAGCACCCAACTCTAATTGTGCCTTTGAACTAGTTGGTGCTAGAAGATGATCAAGGAAACTGGACACTGATGTGCAGGAGATCATGATGGAAGATGTCACAGAAGTTCTCAAAGACCTCTTGAAGCTCCTCTGATGTATTGTCAAGTGCAGCAACCACCATAGTTGTCACCATCTTGTATACCACAAAGAAAGATGTCACAGAGCCACCATGTCCTCACTGATGTACTTGAGAAACAGATAGTTTTCAACCTGAAGCTGTATTTTCTGGTGCATAGCTGCTGCAGTTAGTCTAAGTACTGGAAGAAGCTCCTCTGGGGCCCTTGTGCTGTGTTCTTTCAGGAACCACAGGTATACCAGCAGCCAGTGTTTTAGGAAGCTGCTGAGAGGATCCCTAAAGGGATTACCCATGCTGTCTGACTGTCTTGTAGCATCTCAGAGGAAACACCCTTAGGCTAGTGTAAGTCATCCTCAAAGTAGAAGTGCTACAATGTGGCTGATGCTCCACAGGTCACCTGGAAGACAGAGCTGGCCTGACACTGCAGCGACCAGGATGACCAGGATGTGTTTGCATAAGAACAGCCCTTGGTTGTGACAGGACCATTTTATCACACCTCAGTGTGTATTACATAAGCATCCAGTGTGAAGTTGAATGATGCAGAGAAAATAGTCCCCTAGAGGAGACAGTGGGTTGGGGGGTCACTGGCTCACGATTTGCCTCATAGAGAGGAGAATGAGTCACATCCTGGAGGCAGGCATAGGAACCCATGATGACATGCAAACAGTTGTCTATGCAGAGGCTGTGTTTTGGGTTCAGGTGCTTCCATTGCCTGCTACCTTGATAAGGTGCAGCAGGACTAAAATGCATTCAAAGAGCCAGTCTCAGATGCTGACTGGCCCCTGGTCATTCCCTTTAGACACAGTATCTCCCACTCCTATCCCTGCAGTAAGTCCTCTGCTGCCTGACAGCTCAATATATGAAGGCTTCAAGAAATGCTGGGTCAGAAGAAAAAGCAATAAGGTAGCACCCATCAAATGGGAATTGACGCAAGAAATCTGAAAGTTTTTTTCATGCTGATAACTGTGAAGTTAGGGAAAATACTCTGGTGGTGCACTTGCATTTAATGCCAGTGGGTACCTGCCTTCCCTGAACTGAGCTGCTGGCCCTCAAGGCAGAGAATGCCATTATGGTTTTGGATTCCTCCTGGTTTGATAGTGGTAACATGATGATTTATTATCGCATCTATTTCAAGTGCTGGCTCAAGGGGTCAGGGCAATGGACATCACCAGCAGCTTGCTCAATGTGCACCTGCCCTCACCATACCTTACCCACCTGCCTCTGGAAGCTGTAGATTCCAGCTTCTGCCAGCCATGAGATAAATCTCCTTTCAATACCCTCTTTCTATTACCTTTTTTCTTTTTATGATGCCCAAAGCTGAAACTAGGAAGATGCATTGCACATTCTGTCTATCCTTTCCAGTCTATGGTTTAACAGGAGGAGTTTGTAGAGCCCTCATGGTAACATTGTCAGACCAGTTTTGCAGATGGAGGGAAGGAGGATCAGCTGTTCTTTAAAGATATGTGTTAGTCTTTCTTCCGACTCAAGGAAAGTGTGAAAGAAGACTCTGTGATTGTCTTTACCTGGTATCACCTGTCTAGGATAAATGGATTAGCAATATGGGGTTAACACAGTAAATATAGGTAAGCTTGGCTGAGGACAGGTAGAATGGAGTCCTTGAGAATTCAAAGGTTTTGTTTTACTTTGTTTTGTTAAATTCAGAGGCCAAAGTTGAATTCTCCTCTTCAAGACTTTTAGAAACACTTGGGTTGCTTCCTCTATTCAGATGATAAATTCTAGTCTTTCAAACACATCCATTTTACAGGCTTATACACCATTTTCCTTTGATGCCATTTTTGTCAGGCCTCTCCACCTTCTTTTCAAATACAAATGATCATTTCCATATAAAAAATTCATGACAGATGTCAAAACTCTCTGATGTAGTAGTCTTCAAGGAAATTCTCTCAAATTCTTTCATAGGTTGGACTGGATTTAATTATCAAACTGAGCCTCGGTTTTATCTTACCCGATTTTCTCTCTCCCATCTGGATGAACTGGATAATATGGAACTCCATACCTCAGTGATCTTGTACAGGTGGTTGGTGAGTATTTGAAAAGATTGAATAAGTGTGTGAGGTTAAGATGACATGGATACAAGAATGTATTAGGGAGGGAAACCACAGGAGTTGGAGTGGGAGCAAATGGTGAGACTCCTCCAGAAAGTGCACTTGGAAAGTTAAAGACACAAAAAGGCAGGGAGCCTTCTTCTTAAGAGTTGCATTGGGCTAATAGCTAATCATAGACTCCTAACCCTGTTTCTTTTTACAAAATCTTGGAGAACTAACGAGGAAGTACATGGCAATGGGAGCAAACTGAGGCATGTGGTAGAACAGCCATGAATGTAACAGTTACTGTAAATCTCACTTTGTCACTGCTTTAAAATCCTCACAATTCCTATTCCTCAGAATAAAGATAACACTTCTTATGAGAGCACTCAAAGCTTATTGAAATCAGGCGCCAGTCTTGGGCCAATCAATCTACCTGTCTCGGGTCCTTCTTACAGTTCTTTGCTTTTAAAAGGTTTTAAATTTTCAGGAGTAAAACAAAAATTTTTAGGAGGAGTTTTGTTTAAAAAGATTAATTCTAATAGCGTCCATAACTCCTCCAGAACTTATTGCTAAGCCTTTCCTTCATATTGTATACACCAGAAGGAAGATTGTGCCTAAGGTAAGGGGAATAAAGTACCCTAATATTGTGTGATTTAACACCTCATTGCTCTCTAGGAAATGATTTGTAAATTTAGAGTTCACTTTCACACCTTTTTCCTGGAAGTCTAGCAGCACCTTTCTGACTTCAATTGTTTCTTTACACTGCTTTCTATTTCTGTTGTAGATCATTGGATCCATGGTGATGTTATTTTTTGGCTTGAGGGTTTGAGGGTCGCATGATGGACACTTGGTTCACAATGTAGTCATTTTGAAAAATGGTGGGATTCTTAACAGTTGGGTCCTGTTGGAACTGGGATAGTCACTGGGGGCATCGCTTTAGAAGAGATTAATGTAGTTCCCATAGGATCCTGAAAGTAGGTTGTTATAAAAAGGAACCTTGTCCCTGCAGCTTTCTTGCTTCCTGGCATACAATGTGATTTCTCTTTTTTTCAGATTAGCATATATTAATTGCACAAAGGGATTCCCTTGTGTTATTTTTATACATTCATATAATATACTCTGATCAAGCCCATCTCCTCTGTTACTCTTCTTATTTCCCTGTCTCTTTCTCTTGCTTATACCCCGAAAATGATTCCATCTGCTAAGTGGTAATATTCGCAGTATACCCTCACCAAAGCTGAACAGATATTAGAGCCATATTCTTGGATCTCTAAATTGTGAGCTAGATAAATCTCTTCCATACTCATCCTCAAGTGTTTTATTATACTAACTCAACTAAGAAAAATTATTTGTTGACTTTAGTAAAAGAAGAATAGGTAACTTAACTACCAATGTGGTTCCTTAATTCTTCCATACCCATGAGTTAATACTTGAGCTGTGTATACCAGAGAGCTTTTCATTTTAAACTAAAAATGATGCTCAAAATGTAACTAAATTTAGAAGAAGGAATATGATCACATAAAAACTCAGGGATTCAACTTACATAATTACTGTTGGAGGTACTTGCTCCATGGCTGCCTTCAAGAGGCTCACATTCTAGGCTAAGGCAGACCAGTGACCACAATACAGTGTGGTGACTGCTCTTCAACATGTTCCCAGGGCCCCCACACATGGCAGGCATCCTACCCTGGGAAGGAAGATAACACAGGCCTAGCAAAGGTTTTCCAGAAAAGTTGACGCATCAGCAGATGATTTAAAATTGAATAGATCTTAGGGGATTTTTTTTTTGTTTTCTGATTGGAAGAGCAAGTACAAAAATACAGAGGCAGCACAGAGCAACAGGTTTGAAAGGAGTAATGGAAGATCTAAGTGATGTCAAGTCCTTTCATGATAAGAATATAGTCTTGACCCTTCAATCAGGGGAGGCTTACTTCATAACATTATTATATAATCATTTTTTAATTAACCAGAATTATTATTCTTCCCTTTGGTTCCAATACTTGGGGCTTGAACTTGCAGCCTGAGTATGTCCTTTAGCTCAAGGCTGACACTCTACCACTAGAGCCACACCTCTACTTCTGGTTTTTTGGTGGCTAATTGGAAATAGGAGTCTAATAGATTGCCTCGCCTGGGCTGCTTTCAAATTGTGATCTTCAGATCCTAACCTCTTAAGTGTTAGGTTTTTAAAAGAGGTTGCCAAGTAAGAACAGCACCACGCACGTGGTATTCAGGTAAGGGGTAGGTTTATTCATCGTTCCGGCTGGCACCAGGCCATCTTGGTCCTCCACACGGTGGGGAAAGGCCTGGGAAAGAGAGCTGGGAAAGAGAGAGAGCTGGAAAAGAGAGAGAGAAGAGCTAGAAAAGAACCTAGAGAGAGGGCAGAGAGAGAGGAGAGAGGAGAGAGCAGAGAGAGCTAGAAAAGAGCAGAGAGAGGGCATCTGGGCCTGGGCTAGGCCTTATCTAGGTATGGGTGGAGAAAGGTGTGGCCACATCAAATTCAGATGTGACCTCTTCCAGGTATTCCAGTTGCCTAGGTAACGCAGGTACTAGGTGGAGACTTTGCTGCGAGGAGGGTGGAGTCTGCTAGCCATCCAGGAGCCGACCTTACACTAAGCAGCTAGAATTACAGGCATGAGCCACTGGTGCTTGGCAAAAATTTCTTAGGCTTTCTCTTAGTAAGATCATACTTTTCACTGAAGTGTCTGTGTAGATACTCATATGCAAATCTACACATTTTGGCTGTGACACTTTGAGCAAGGAAATTAGCGTCTCTGTGCTTTTTTCCTCATTTGCAAAATGGAAATACCTTCTTCGCTGAATTGTGATGAGAAAGGAGAGAAGCCATCCAACACAGGATCTAAATATTTCATAAGAAGTTAGTTTGATGCTAAAGATGAGTTTAGACAACCTAAGGGAGATAAAGGGTATGTCGATGATTAGTTAAGGGATGGTAACAAATTCTAACTTCAGAGAACCCCTGAGCTCTCTGGAAGAACTCTTAAGATGTTGTCTAAATAAATCCTATTAAATAAGGTAAGCCAAGCTCAGAAAGAAAATGGCACATGTTTTCTCCCAGATGTGGAAGCTACATATAACTGGACACACTTACCTATATAGGACTCTAGGTATTCACACACAAGCAGTGAGATTAAGGAGGATACCCTTAGGGGAAGAACCAAAAGCTGTAACTCCTCTGAACATTTAAAATACAATTTATTGAAACAAATTCCAGGAAATGGAAACAT